AAATTAGGTCCAAATAATCTGTCCCCTCAAATGACAATTACCCAAACAATTCACAATTCTGGGTTAATTTTAATTAAAGAATAAAACAAGTATAGTTAATTACCAAGAAATTCTAAGTGAGTATAAGACATCAAACTTACTGCTCCACTGTGACTCACTGGTGGGGAGCCTGCAGGTGCATGCTATGCCAACCCTGTGTTCTTTGCTCCCCCAACCATGGAGAGCCTGGCAGGGATGCATGCTCTACGCACACCCATCAAAAGTTGCTGCTCTGCTGATGTTAGTGATACCAAAGAAGAGTTCAAAGCTGGAGGCAGAGAAGAGCAGCCCCAGCCAGCCATTAACAGGTCAGAGGGAGCCCCACCAGGAGAGTTCTTCTCTCTGCCCCTGCCAAGGCGGAAGGACTCCTCAGATGCACTGCAAAGCTTGGTGGTTTTTTACTGATATCTGAATGTTTTTACCATTTTACAGAGAGGTCCAATTTTAGCTCTTTTTTATGGATTGTTTGTGAATTTACTGATGATTAGCCAACTTGGCTATATGCCACAGTTAATAGTTCTGCAATTTCACACTTGTGTTTCTTCAGAACTCTTAGGTGAATACCATCTGATCCTGGTGACTTGTTACTGTTTGTGATATTAATAATAAACATAAGGATTGATTGTGTTGTAGCTCCTATCTCACTGCATGATATCCTTTACCATAGTATTTAAGATCAAAGTACCAGATTTTACATTATTAATTTGACAGTCATATAATTAAATATAATATTTTAGCTGTGGATTCAAAGGCTATGTCTAGATTTCATCCCTCTGTCGGCAGAGGGATGCAGATTAAGCAAGTCGACATTGCAAATGAAGCGGGGATTTAAATATCCCGTGCTTAATTTGCATAAAAATGGCTGCCATTTTTGCCGACTCAGCACTTTGGCTGCAAAATGAGGCAGTCTAGAGGGGGATCTGTTGATAAAGAAAGCCTTTTTTCGACAGATTCTGGCACTTTTCTGCAGAGAAGTTTACAGGATCTGCCAAAAAAGGCTTTCTTTCTTGACAGATCCCCCTCTAGACTGCCTCTTTTTGCTGACAAAGTGCTAAGTCGGCAAAAATGGTGGCCATTTTTATGCAAATTAAGTGCGGGATATTTAAATCTCTGCTCCATTTGCAATGTCGACCTGCCTAATCTGCATCCCTCTGCCAACAGAGGGATGCAGTCTAGACATACCCAAAGTGTAGTTACATAAAAAATGCAAACGAACAGAAAACAGGAGGAACACACTGCAGACACTAATATAAACTTTCTAAGAAAAAATTATCTCTACAGTGAAACTTCACATTGTGCCAAATATATTGGGTACGTACTTGGGAAATACCCAGATTTGAGGACAAGGTCATATTTAAGACCTACGGCCAGTAATTTTGGCAAAGGCACCTCAAACAATATATCTAAAGAATTTTGCAACAAATCTAGGGGATGTAGTAACAAAAAGTCATTCTATTACATGTGACCTATGAATTCTAATGTTGAGTTTGCTTTCTTTAACTGGTCAGAGAAATTTAATAAATAGCTCACATGACTCATTAAATAGCAGCCACAGTTGCTATGCCTTTTGGCACAAAAGCAAATTGTCTATGCAAAAAGAGGAACCAAAACCTTTTTGTAGCCCTCAATTAATTTAATGGTTTGCTGAAATTTGATGGTGGAAGAGTGACCTGGAAAAGTTAAACATAAAAACATGAATTGCTGTTGTTCTGTGTCTGTAAAGAAATTAAAGAAAGGCAGCATTGTTTACACTGGGTAGCATAGTATTGTTATAAAGTCATCCTATAGCTCTATTTTTATAAACCAGTTACCAAGAAAAACATTCTGAGGAACATCCTTGTTATGTGTGTAAAGTTATGGCTTTGCCTCAATTGCTTGTTTTATTTGAAAATATCAGAGATGGGTGCTACCCATTTTCCAAATGTAAAACTGGTTGCTCCTTATTCATGACTGACTCCTCACAATGGATTAGGAAATGGATTATGTTACATATTCTGGTTTCCTGTTATTAAACATTAAAGGGCAAAATCTGGCTTGACTAATACTCTGTGTGAGACTATTCAAGTCAATTAGCATACATGGAGTGAAAATCAGGACAGAATTTGGCCTTACATTTTAAGACATTTCATGTGAAAGAAACACTCATGGGCCACTGTTTGCACGTGTGGCATAGTCAGCTCCTTCCTGCCTCTGCTCAGGGGTTGGAGCAGCCAATAGCTAACCTGACGAAAGTACTCAAGGCCTCGGTATGCCTACAATTGAATGTATGTTTCCAACAGGTGGTGGAGTTGAGCAAGCATAGACTGGGGCTACGTCTAGACTGCAGGCTTCTTTCAAAAGAAGCTTTTCCGGAAGCGATCTTCTGGAAAACCTTTTTCCGAAAGAGAGTGTCTATACAGCAAAAGTGCATCAAAAAAAGTGATCTGCTTTTTCTAAAGATAGCATCCACATTGATTGGACGCTATCTTGCATTTAAGGCCACCCTGAAGCAGTTCAGGCAGGACATTACATCAGCAGTTGCTTTCGAGTGCTGTTGCCTAAGCCTAGCTGAGAGACACACTTAAAGGGACCCCCGTGGACATATTTTCTCTGCTTCTGTTGTGTGCTTGTCTATCACTCTGAGGGCCAGCAAAGCTTTAGCAGTGTATGCTGTGGTTGCCCAGCTTTTGGACACCACAGCATTCTTTGTGACATGAAGCCAGAGTTGCCCCTTGGCATGCAATGGCCCCACAGCGCCATGCTGCAGTTTGTGCAGCAGTTTGTGCAGGCTGCCTTCAAGGCCCTCCACGAGCTTGACACCGAGTTAATCTTTGAGACTCTCTCCCTGTGTGTGGGAACAAGACCCTGGCAACCATACTTCACAGTGGAGAGATGGTTTTGGAGGCTCAGCACCAGTTCCAACTGGTGGGACTGGCTGGTGATGGAGCGGTGGGATGACCAGCAGTGGCTCCAAAACTTCCATGCGGAAGACCACCTTTTTCTGCCCTCCAACGACATGACACCCACCTGTGGCCCGCCATCCCCCTGGAGAAGTGGATTGCCATCGCTGTCTGGAAGCTTGCCATCCCAGACACCTACCCGTCAGTGGGCAACCAGTTTGGTGTGGGGAAGTCCACCGTTGGGGCCCTCCTCATGGAGATAAGGCACCCTCGGGCTGCAGTCCCTTGGGGTGAGGGCAAGTCCTGGAAAGGGGGACCTTAGGGAAAGGAGGGTGGAGTGCTGTAGGGGTGGGCTGGGGGGGAAGCCCCATCCCCAGGGGGTTGTGCCATCCCACCCTCACACAGCCCTGCTGCTGGGCTCATAGGGGGTATCTCCTGGGGTATTTGGGGGGGGGAAGAAGAGGAGATGGGAGGGCACCTCCCAAGGGCTCAGGAACACCCCCTCTCATTCTCTGTTGTGTTTGTTTGTCTCCTTCCGCAGGTTGTGAGGGCCATCAACTCCATCCTGCTGGGCAAGGTCATCTGCTTGGGAGACCTGGACCAGCTGAAGCACAGGGCCCAACAGGAATCTCATGACCATTTCAGAAGGGGCCTTGCATGCACAACCCTTCATAGGTCCAATGAAATATATTACCTCATTCTCTCATTTTCTGTCAGTTCATTAGTCACCATCTGTAATTGGAATAAATTACATCATCAAACACTCATTCAGGCTATGCCTAGACTACAGGCTTCTTGCACAAGAAGCTTTTTTCGGAAGCGATCTTCCAAAAAAACTTCATGCAAAAGAGCATCCACACTGCAAAAGTGCATCAAAAAAGTGATGTGCTTTTTTGAAAGATAGCGTCCAGCCTGCCTGGACGCTATCTCACACGTAAGCAGTGATTGCGATGGACAGAATGGCCACCAAGGCACCTGTGCTTTTTCCTCTTCCTTCTTCTTCTGAAAAAATTCCCTCTTCCTCATCCATAGACGCCTTTTTGCAAGAGTGCTTTCGCAAAAAGACGTTCTTCCTCGTAGAATGAGGATTACCAATTGCAGAAAACCCCCGCAGTTCTTTTGATTTATTTGTGAAAGAATGCAATTGTAGTGTGGACGTTCCTCAAGTTTTGTCAGAAAAACTGACTGTTTTTCCGACAAAACTCTGTAGTGTAGACATACCTTCAGTGTGGAACAGAGGTAAATGTGAGAAGTATGTATAGACTCAGTTACTGCTGGCACAGAGTCAGCTTGCACTTCTGCCATTCAGGGGCTATCAGGACTGGGGTAGCTGCAGCCCAGACTAACTAGGGCTGCTGCAAGCCCTACTCGAATGGGCCCAGAGGGGTGCAGGTCTCCCTCAGTTATGTCCTCTTATGCCCAGTCTGACTCTTCTACATTCTGGAATTCCTGTGTTCCCTGCAGACACACCCCAGAGATTCCGTGCACCATAGTGGTGTTCTCAAGCTTTGCTCGCTCAGACTGTACAATGCTGAATCTGGCCCAAGCTGCTGCTTTGTCCCAAATGTGTTCAAATACCAAGTTGTGCCTAGGTCTGGCTATTGTTATGAAGTTGGTCCAATAAAAGATTACCAACCCACCTCGTCTCTCTAGCATAATACCTATTTATTCTGTATGGCTGGTACAATTCAACAGTGTAACATGATTCTTTGGCTGGCGCGTTTAATTTTTAAGTCAAAGAATAAGGAAGGAATTAAAATATATGACTTTTACTGTACCCACCATATTTATTTTTTCATTTTATAAAGTGTCAAACCTAGTTCAAGAACTTCAGAGATTATAAGGGGATTTTTAAAGCTTTGACATATGGTAATGTAAGCATACATGTTGAAAGCAGAAGCAGGTGTGCTCCCAGGTGGAGGCACTGGAGGGACACAAGGTAGCCTACTTGCATATCTCTGAGAAGAGAAACCAAAGCAAACCAGGAAGCAAATAAAAATATTCAGGCAAGCCACGTCTCAGGCTGTGAAAAAAACAGGCTGGCTGGGTTAGTTATTCATTACCAAGAGCTACAATGTGCAGAAAGGCTCTGTGCTGACCACAGCAGGCACTCATATGGGTCAAGAAGAAGAATCTTCAGAAGTAGTACAGCTCTGAGAAGAGTCAACGCTAAGATTTTAAAATTATTTCTAATTATTTGTACTTTTTTTCTTTTGATAGGACAAACAAGATCAATGATTTTCTTTTGCTGCCAGATTTTGGCCCAACCACTGTCCTTTTTTGTTTTCCTGATCAAAAGAGGAAGCAAACAATTCTCCCCCATGCACTATTGCACTTTAATGCTCAGGTATCACTCCTGAGTAAGAAGCAGCCTGCAACAAGCTCTCGGTGGGACTTTGGAAAGAAAAGTTTCCAGCAACAGCAAAATTTATTTCATCTTGTGCCAAAGGAGGAAAAATATCCTGCAAAGAACTAAAAGGATGACAATGCTAAATTATGTATAAAGATATTGCCACTTGGAAAAGAAAAGAAAAATAAAGAGGAGAGAAGAAGCCACCAAGAGGAGCAGCATGGGGAACTTTTGCCGGAAGCATTGCATTTGTATGCAGAGGTGTGCCCCTTGGCTCTTCCAAGAGAGTGATGATGGAGGAGAGGGGGAGAAATATAAGACAGGCCATGTTAATCGTGGCTTGTGGGGAAATGATTGCCAGATAGACAATACTGCCCAGGCAGGTGTGGATGCTGGAATTCCTTTGCCTCCACCGCGTGATCAGAAGCCCACAAACCGTCACAACTTTGTGGCACTGTTTGATTATCAGGCCCGCACTATAGATGATTTGAGCTTCCGAACTGGAGATAAACTCGAGGTGTTGGATACATCTCCAGAGGGCTGGTGGTACGCTACTCTCCTCCTGGACAGTGGGTCAACCCAGCCTGGCCAGACGCTCAGCGGCTACATCCCCGCCAACTACGTAGCTCCTGTTCAGAGCATTGAGGCTGAGCCGTAAGTAACACCCACATTATATGCACAATTGTTGTTCCTCTTGTCTTAATAGAAGGAACAGATTGCAATACCTTTTCTCACACTGACTAGTACCTTGTTCCAAAAGTCTTCTCAGTAGTGCAAGGCACTGCTTAACATGAGTAAGGAGATCACAGTCTAGTCCCAAATAAATAAAATAAGGCAAAGTATTCAGATGTTTGTTTCAATCTAAATCACTTCCCTTCCCCACATGTCCTAATCACTTCCTTATTATATAGGTGGGTCACAGCTAGTACGGGTAATTATTATGATTATTATTTATATAGCAGTAAAAATATGCTAGGTGCTTTCTAAAGAATAAAAAGATAAGGGATCTGTTCCCAAAGGGCTTGTAATTTAAATAATTCCAAAGCTGAGTAAATTACTTAAAAAGGGCAAGAAGCTGGAAACATCCCCTCACATTTTGTTCCTAATGGTGGGTGAATTTCTAAGGTATCTGTGTTAGTTTCTATCTCATCATAGATGCAATGCGTGGTGCTGAATAAATAAATCCCCACCTTGCAGAGCTCAAAATCTGAGTTACACTATGGTACCGTAAATGGAGGAATGAATGGCTAGAATTCTTGCCTAAAAGTTATTTGAACTCATTAAGTCTGAAAAATCAGACTAGGAATCTAATTGAAATAGATTATTTCACTGGGAGTCTGATTTGAAGAGGAGTGGGGAATCCAATGTATGCACTGCAGTTGAGACAGGGGTTTGCTAAAAAAGCTGTGGCCACTATCCCAAAATAGATGCATGTTTCCACTGAAATGACTAGCTAACAGAACTGACATTTTTAGGTTCCAAAGGCCACTTTCTATTTGGATGAGTAGGGACAATCAATATCTCTTACAGTGCCAAAGACATACTTCACTCTTCAAAGGCATGGTACTACAGCTGTGTGGGGTAAATCTTCTTTCCCCCTGAAATATGCTCTCCTACCCATTAGCTGGGGCCACAGGGAATTGCCATAGAGTTGATTTACCAGCTGAAGATTCTTTCATGTTGGGAAAATCCTCAAGTGGAATGACCTGTTAGGGCAGGTGTAGGGCATCTCCCTTTTACCCTGGAGACCTTAGTGTGTACGGTCAGTCAGACAGCACTTCCTCCATTCATATTCAAAAGCCTCTTTGCAACCATGAACATTAATCTGCAAATACAGCATTTGTCTGGGGCTATAAGAGAAGTGTTTGTAATATGCTCTACTTCAGCTCAGTAAGACCGCCGCTCTCTTTCAAAAACTTGTTTTCTTGCAAGATTTCCAGGATTTCTGTTTCTTGTCACAGCTGGAAACATTGTGAAATCAACTTCAATTGTTATTCAACAGAATCTCATTTATCTCAGTCTCTCTCATATTTATAATCTGCCCTAGCATGCATAATTTGCATATAACATATTTATAGTGTCAAGATTTTTTCTTTTACTGTGTTTAAGTTTTACCTCTCCACTTTTTAAAAAGAGAAAGAATATCGTTATGCTGTGATCAATGTTTCTGCTTGAGGACCCATTGGATAGTAAAAACCTGCACTGGGAATTTTTCCAACTCTTGGTTGAAGAGTCTTTCCTCCAAAATATTAGTCAAGAATTTTAAGTGTTTTAATATTAAGATATTTTAAGTAAGAGTTAAAAACAAAACCAAAGAAACACAACCACCAAAGACACTCTAAAAATTTCTGTAGCTGTTCTCACATACCTCTAGCACATATTGGTAGACTAGGATCTGATATTTCGAATGTGAAAAAAGCAGAAAATGAACCCCCCCCCCCTCAAACCACACCATGAAGAAATAAGAGGGTTCAAACTTTTTTTCTGCTGGACATTAAAAATAAAAAGGGTAGAGATGGAGCTTAAAAAGTTAATGAAATTACTTCTTTCTAGGATTTAAAATGGAAATGTTGTGGGTCAGTCACTAATTTCCTTCTTTTTTAATTTGCATTTGAATCAGGTTTATCACTTGCGTGTAGGGCTGGGTATTTTACAAACATTTTCTATAATTTCTAAAGAGATTCATGTTTTCAAATCACAACTTTGTAAACTAATTTGTATAATTTGATTCAGGTAAGAGGTATATCTAAACAGAATAAAAGAAGCATTTTATGAGGTGATCCCTGTTTGTAGAAGTGCTAACTACAGACATCTTTTGGGGCTTGGGACTTGATCATTCTACCAAAATAACAAGAAGTATAAGTTTGCCTTGCCTGTATTAAGTTATTAGATTGGGCCATATGAGTTTGAAAGGCATGTCAGTGGTAGGGAAAAGGTGAAAGGCAGCCTGTCTATACTGAATCTGCATAGACAGCCCACTAATGAGGGAGGAGGGGACATGAGGAGGGCAATTGCCCTAGGGCCCAATTATTCAAGGGGCCTGGGACTCTTGGCCACTACTGCTACAGGTTGCCCCTTTACAAACTGGGACTCTGGTCCGGCAACGAGCATGGATTTTCCAGTATCAGAGAGTTCCCATGTACTGTGGGGGTTAGGGGGCCTGGGAGCCCAATGCAATGCAGGGGGAAGGGGAGTCTGGCATAAAATCTAGTTGGGCTGCCTGGGGGTGCTGGGAGCCAGGAAGCCTTGCATGTGGCTCAGCTGGGCTGTGGGGGAGAGGGAAATGCAGCCAGAAAGGACAGGGGGTGGCCCAGGTGCGCTGTGCAGAGGGAGGGATCTGGGTTGTGGGGGAGGGGAGAAAAGTAGATGGGAAGCCAAACGAATGACCTAGTTGGGCTGCCTGGGGGAGCTGGGAAGCCCAATGGAGCGGCAGGGCAGGGAATGGGGCCAGCAGCAGGGAGCCAGAAATGACCGCCCCTGGTTCAGCAAAATCTCTCATCTGGGACCAGGCGGGTCCCATATCTAACCTGTCCTGCGGAAGCAGCGGAACCCATAGTTCCAGGACTTTTAAATTGCTGCAGGAGCACCGTGCCACACACTCCTGGTGGCTTTGGGAGCTGGCTGGAGGGACACGCTGTGGCCCAGCCCACCACTTTTACCAGAGGCCCTGCCCCATCTGGGAGCTCTGAGCCAGCTCCCTCCCCCCATCTCTTGGCAGGAGCCCCATGAGGCTGTGGCTCCCATGTTCACAGGGATTCCATGGTATAACTAACATACTTTACAGTATTTTTGACAAAGGGGAGAATAACTCTGCCTATGAATGAAAGGTTATTTTCTTACACAAATTCAGGTGCCAAAATATTTCAGATTGGCTAAAATCCCACCAAGCTGAAAACTATAACTAACAAATCTGAACTATGGAATGTGAGGAGATCTCAGAGAGTACGGTTAGATTGTGGGTTTTTTTCAGGATACCAGACATATCTTGAAAAAACTCTGCCATGTCAAGGGAACACATTTGCTCTTCCACTTTTTTTTGTGGCAGAGCAAACATGCTCTTTTGGAAGTCCCTGTATTCCTCGTTCCACGAGGAAGAAGAGGGCTTCCAAAAGAGGGTTTTTTTTCCCAACATTTGGCCCTGTCTAGACAGGCTAAATGTCAGAAAAGCCTCTTCCAACAAAAGAATTGGAAAAATGTAGGCATCTTCCGTAGCACATTTTGTGTACCTTTTTCTGACAAAAACTTGTAGTCTAGCTGCTTTTGCGGAAAAACTTGCCAGCTGTCTATACTGGCCGCTTGAATTTCCACAAGAACACTGACGATCTCATGTAAGATTGTCAGTGTTCTTGTGGAAATACTATGCTGCTCCCATTCGGGCAAAAGCCATCTTGTGCAAATGCTTTTGCCCAAGAGGGCCAGTGTAGACAACGCGGTATTGTTTTGCGCAAAAAAGCCCCAATCGCGAAAATGGCGATCGGGGCTTTCTTGCGCAAAACCGCGTCTAGATTGGCACGGACGCTTTTCTGCAAAAAGTGCTTTTGTGGAAAAGCGTCCGTGCTAATCTAGATGTTCTTTTCCGCAAATGCTTTTAGCGGAAAAACTTTTCCGTTAAAAGCATTTGCGGAAAATCATACCAGTCTAGACGTAGCCAGAGAGTGTGTAGGAGAAAGAAAATATTTGCAACCAACTGCAACCAAGTGGCAGTCCGCATATGGAAAAGGCTGCTCTTTCTTTCTGTTGCCACAGACATTCCTGCCCAAGTATATCTGTTCTGCATGCAGTAACCTGAAACAATTGGGACAGGAAGAGTGGGGAATGTTCTGATGTCATAGGATTGTGTATATATGCAGCCATCATCTAAGTTTATAAAATATGAGAGGTTCAGTATGCAGGCTGACCCATGGAGAAAAGACAACCCCAACTCTCTGAAACTGCAGCAGGTAAGGGCCAGATGAGAAATACTTGTCAATGGCTGCTGCAGTTGCAGCAGACACTGAGAGGGATGCGTGTCCCTAGCTGGGAGACAGACAGACTGACATACAACAGACAAATTCTCTCAAATATATAGCACATAGCTGTTTCCTTCTCCACCTCTACTCCCTTCTGTCCCAATGGGAAATCCCAGTTCCCATCTCTACTCCCCTTACTTTTCCCATGTGATCATTATACAGTATAACCGTCCTTGCTAGCAGACACCGCCCTTTCCATTTTATGAGAAGCAATCTCATTCCAGGCACATCCCATATCCTGGCACAACCAAACCCTGACTTTGCTTTTAAGTTATGATAGAGGAAGCTGCACAGCAAATTTGGTCATCCTAGCTCTTACCATTTCAGGAGGTGTTCTTGAACAAACAGACTGTCAGACAGACAGGCAGACAGGCACATTAACGCTCTCAAATATACAGTAGGACTATGTCTACATTGCACCCCTTTTCCGGAAAAGGGATGCGGATTAGACACTTTGGAATTGCAAATCTGCGGGGGATTTAAATATCCCCCGCGGCATTTGCATTTACATGGCTGCCGCTTTTTTCCGGCATGGGGATAAGCCAGAGAAAAGCGCCAGTCTAGACGCGATTCTCCGGGAATTGGGGATAAGCTGGAGAAAAGCGCCAGTCTAGACGCGATTCTCCGGAAAATAAGCCCTTTTCC